ATTTAAACTGAGTTTTGTTGAGCCACAGTCTGATCTGCTTACATTTTTCATGCCACATTTAGTTTAGTATTTCACCACATATTGCATGTGGCAACTTCTACAGCCACGTCTTCATGTTTACAGAGTGATGCCTACCTTGCACATATGTGGAAGAAATCCAGTCACTTCTGTTTTGAGTCTTGCTGAAAGAACTCAAGCTCAACAAACAATCTGTTGATTTAATCCAGTACCCACTGGCTGCATTTTTCCCTTCTTAACGCAGTGATTCTGATATTAGTGGCAAACATTGGGCAGATGTTGTCTTTACAGATGGGTGGATGGCTGCTGTTTAGAAGTTTGCTGTCAAGGATCTAGACCTCTTTCTGCTATGAACAGAATTATCCTACCAGCTGAAATTTGTGGAGTGAGTGAGTGAGTGAGTGAGTTAGTTAAATTTCCTTAGAGCAGAGGCCACCAATTATCAGTCCAGATCCAGGCCCAAAGCTCTGGACCATTAGTCATTTCATATTATTAATATTGATATTAATATTATTATTATTAATAATAATAATCCAAAATAGTCCATGACTGTTGATTTGTGCAGAATTGTATATTGCAAAAAAAGAATTGCAATGATAAAATTATTATATAATAATAATAATAAAACTTTTTTTTTTTTTTTTTACAAGTGAACTTTGTTGTTGTTGTTATTATTTATTATTATTATTATTATTATTATTATATTCATTGATATGTTAATAAAATAGATCTAATCTTTTATCAACTTCCGTATTGACCCGAATATAAGAATGTTTTTTTCTTGGAAATACATATGAAAAAACGCGGTCGCGGCGCCAAATACGCATAAAACAAGTGTGCCATGAAATACGTAATGCATAATGCGTGTTGTAAAGATCGCGAGTGAAAACAAAAGAATAAGAAAACCTTACAGCTGCTAAGACAATGTTTTTTTCTTGGAAATACATCTGAAAAAATGCGGTCATGCATAAAACGAGTGTGCCATGAAATACGTAATGTCATGCGTGTTGTAAAGATCGCGAGTAAAAACAAAAGAAGCAGAAAAGCTTACAGCTGCATGAGTCGTGACTGTCACGTTAGCCTGATGGGACCAAACTCCCTTTGTGATTTTAAAACGTAAGACAGTACCCAGATTTGAAGACTACAATAAGATTTAACTTCTACTGTTAATAAGATTTTGGTAGGCTACTATTAGATGGATAGCCTAAATGTCCTAATTCAGATGGGATACCTGTTTTTTTTTTTTGATAGTATATCAAAAAGTGTATATTTTTTAAATGTGATTTTTGATACATTTGACCAGTTTTTACCATACTTTCAAAACAAAAATTAAAATAGGACAAATATGCAATATGAAAATAATTGAAGACAAAATGTGTTTTACTGAGAAAAAACAAGATTTGTTTTTTAAAAAGCCTTTTTCCAAAAGGTACATCTGGAAAAAGGGGGGTTGTCTTATATTCGGGCCAATGCGGTAATTATGCAATTTTAATTCTAATTAATTTGTAAAACTAATCAGGGGGTCATGTAGTCAGCAGGTCCATTCTGCCAGACTCACGTGATTGAGCTTTGTTGTATAGTAATCCACATTCACTCCAACCTGCACAGATGAGTTGACTGGGCATTTTTAGTTTGGATTGGGCAAGTGGGTGGAATAAGCAGCTTAATGTGTAGCAGTGTGGTCATAAATGAAATATAGGTCATACACAACCAGTATTAGACTAAAGCACACATCTTGAACTCCTTTTGCGTAAACCACAACATTTCTAATCACTCAGTTCTAATATTGTGAATGATAAGGACTTTATTCAGGCCATTTTATTCGTGTCCGAGACTGTTGCAAGCCTGAATGATTGAATGGAATCAATTGGAATGACTTTACAAGTGGATTACAAGGATAAAATATTGTAAATCTATGACAAATATGGCAAGCAAATTTAGAAACCACCATAGTAAGCAGGAGAGGATGCCGATAGGTCATTTGGTGCCAGCTCATTTCACATGGACGGACCCAGCTGTCGATGTTGACGACACTGCAGTGCTGGATACCCCTCATAGTGTTTGTCCTAAAATATCCCAGCACTCTGTCCCTTAGACCCCAGTGAGAGTTTACTTATATCGGGATCATCCTTTGGGAATCCACAGAATGAAATTTGCTCCCTTTAAAAATTCTCTCCCTGCCTCATGTTCCAGGCAAAGTCCCACCTCTTTTTTTTCATTGGGTTTTCCAGATTGAGGGGAAATTCTTGATATCTTCAAGCAACACCTGCTCCTTCAGGATGTCCTTGGCAACACAAGAGTCCAGCAGGATGTTTGCAGAGCGTGACTTTCATTATAACCAACTCATATCTGTGAATGGGTGGTATTGTTAAGCTATTCTTTAGGAATGCTTTTCTATGCTCCTGAAGAAAGAGCAACGTCATCCAACTATTTCCAGTGCGCTACAATAAAAGGATTGTTTGTGCCTTCAATGTTTAAGGTCATGTCATGGCTTGGTTTACATACATTACCATTCAAAAGTTTAGGGTTGATCATTTATTTATGTATTTATTTATTTTTTTGTGTTTGATGACAAATACAGTAAAAACAGCAATATTCTTACAATTTAAAATAACTGTTTTAATATATTTCAAAATGTTAATATTCCTGTGATGGCTGAGTTTTCAACAGCCATTACTCCAATCTTCAGTGTCACATGATTCTTTAGAAATCATTTTATATGCTGATTTGCCTCTAATAATAAACATTTCTGGTCCCACTTTATATTAGGTGTCTTTAAATAATATGCACTTAATAATACGATGAATTGATGGTACAGTATTGTGTTCATGTTGAATTGCAAAACACTTTTGCTGCTGTTGAGGTGGGATAAAGGTAAGGATAGGGGCAGGTTTGGTGGTCTGGTTGGGTCAAGGGGTAAGAGGTATTGTCTACATTTTAATTATTGATGTAAATATAGAAATTAATTACATATGTAATTACAGGATGGTATTTCCAGATATAAGTACAGTGTAAAAACGTGTGTACACAATTATTACGGGCTGGTGCAGTAAAAGTGCACGATGAAGGAGTATATTCCAAGAGAGTGCTTGGTTAAGGTGTCCTTGTTACAGTGTAATTATACATTTAAGTACTGAGTAATATTAATTAACTACATGTACTTACTATAGGGTTAGGATTACTTAGGGTTAGGATTAGGGTTACTTGCATGTAATTATGCATAATTAATTGTTATTATAATAGTAAGTACATGTAACGTGAAAGAAGGACACCTTAAACAGGGTGTCCGCGGGGTCTTAAAAAGTATTAAAAGTTGATAAATCAATTTAGAGAAAATTAAGGCCCTTAAAAAGTATTAAAAAGTCATAAATGCCATTTTCCAATGTATTAAATATTGTATCATCTTTTCATTATGTATCTTTGTCTGAATAATGGGGTTTTGTGTACTTTATTTATGGAATCCCGCAAGATTTGACTTCATCTGTTACGGCACTCACTGACTGACTACGCCGCTGCGTGATAGCGCGGGGCTTGTTGATCCCGCTCTCGCTGAATTTCTGACCATTACCACATGCTCCCATCTGCTCCCGTGATTTTTGTGTCCGCTCCCGCAAACATTCTAATATTGTATATAATTTTTCATGCATCAGGAAGCCACTATCAATATGTGGGGTATTTAAATGGCTTTTGAATGAGCACTGGCAGTCGCAGTTCACTTTCACTTTCGATTTCGAGATTGCACGCACACTGTGTAAAGGGAGCACACCTTACGATATAAGATATTTGTCAATGATTTTAAACGGTTGCCATGGGTTGATTTTCCCCAGTGGGTTAAAGGTTTTAAATATTACATAAATTACATTTGACTGAAATGCTTTTACTCAAACATTTTGCATTCTACCTGTAATAAAACTGTGCTAAATGTTTTGTGAAGAAGGGCCACTAGTAGGAAGCCTTTGAGCTGTGTTTATGGTCAATGTGCATAACATTGACTGTAAAATATGTATTTTAGGGATGGAAATGACATATTGTGATGTTTGGGACATGGTCATTGCGCTACTTTGGGCTGTCAGGAAGCTGAACTCCCTCCCGACCATGCCCCCCCTCCCCTCTTTTGCCCCACGCATCACTGAACTCTGACCTTCTGACGGACTCTCCCACTCCCCCCTCCCAAATACACACACACACACACACTGTCACTTAATCAGTCTGAATAAGCTCTTTTGCACTACAAATAATTATTTTGCACTACAATCATTATATCTGCACTGTTGTTTACTTTACTGGTTTGCACTCTATCTGCCATATGCCTTGTGCTTTATATATATATATTTTTACATTTTACCTTATTTGTATATTTGTATAGTTGTATTTTGTATTTAATCTGTGTTATCTGTATGCACCAAGGGTCTGAGAGTAACGCAATTTCAATTCTCTGTGTGTATGTGCTGTACATGTGGAAGAATTGACAACAAAGCAGACTTGACTTGACTTGACTTTTTTACTGGCATGGGATGCAGAATTAAAATAATGTAATAGTTGTGATCATTATTTTACCTTCCATGGTCATTCAGACTTGATCAGGTGCAGTACTGACACTCTTTGTCAAGTCTGTATCAAATCAGGCACTCTGTAATCACAGCTAAACTGTCTGATCAGTCAGATGTTTGTCATGAGAAGTGTTCCATAAAACAGCTATGGTTTGAGTTGATGTGACAAATACATCTTTTGAATATACCGAGTGAACTCATTGCCCCTTTAGCTCGGAGAGCTTTATTTTCCCTCCTCAATAAGTTTTGTCAGTTGTTTTGTTAATTGGTCTAAGTGATGTTTTATTAACAAGTTTCGGGAGGAGCGCACACAGATAATTAACACGGCCAGTTCATCATCAGTAATTACACCATCTATCCAATCAGCTCAAGAGAGAACCTCTATAAATAATCAAAGCAGCCTTACCTCCATTATCTCCCGTCCTTAGCAACATGTCAGACATCGAGCTTTTCCCGGACGATAATGAATTCGACACCACGGGTCCTCCGGCGTCTTCAGTCGCCGTCCAGCACACCAGCGCTCCGCAGGACACCATAAGCGAGCCCGCGGCTGCAACTCGGGGCCGCCGGCCCTCGGGGGAGCATTCTGGGTCCGGGCTTAATCCCGAGCTCGGACCCCTCTCCCCGGCCAGGGGGAGGACCCCGGGCTCGAGAGTAATTACCGAGCTTGGAGCCCTCTCCCCGGACAGCACGCCAAATACGCATAAACTTTACTCGGTTAATTATAAGTAAGTGTGAACTCGTGAATTCTTGTTTCTTGGGTTGCATTGGTTAGTCACTCAATTAATTATCTTGTGTTTCGTTCCCTACTTCTGAATTATGTTGCATTGATAAGGAGTTATCACAAAGTAAGACTGTTTAGTTGTGCTATCTTACAATCAATATATAGTAAATGTAAGTTAAAGTGTCGCCGATGTAACCGGTTAAAACTTGGAGTGGCGATGAGGTCTTAAAATGTATGGAAAGAGTCTTAAAAAAGGTCTTAAAAAGGTATTAAATTTAACTTTATGATTCCTGTATATACCCTGTTAAAATAAAGTGTTACCGAGTTCTTTTAATAAATCCACAGGGACAAAATAATCACAACCGATTAAGGCTGTCAAAAAAAATGTGAATGAATTTAAAATAAAAATCCACTTTCACAATTTTAGGTGTGTGTTAAGGAGGCAGCCTTATCAGCGGTGCACGAGATGAGATGCGATGACGATGTAAATGTCGTTGCATTATAATGTTTTTGTTAGCCTATCCAGTTGAAGCCACTGGATGTGGCGCTGCTGCGTTGTTCATTAAAAATATAGCGGAAAAAGAGAACATCAATGCGGAGATGATGTTGTTTATGTCAAAACTGACACCAAGCCGTTCACACAGAACGCATATTTCACACATTTTCTAGAAGGACATCTATTACTGTTGCACTCACGTCTCGCACAAAAGAGCCGCATGTTTAGAAAGCCATGTAAAAATAATGCAAGTTTAACTATGAAAAAACATATATCGAGACTTTATGGCGGGTTTTTCCCCATCCCACTGCATCTCATGTTTTTAAATGGAAAAAATGTACTCTGTGTGATTGGCTTTCCGCCCTTTGTATTAAACTATGCATACATATATGATGCTGTTTTGTTTATAGTTGTTTAAGCAACTGAATTATAATTGGTTTATAAACATTATTTTAAACATGCACTTTTTTTCGCAGATAGTCATGTTATCTTATGCTTTGAATTATGTGCCCTCTTGTGGCCTCAGAAGAGAAGCCAAAAGCCTTTCTTCACCCTTACTGAAATTATGCATTTTAAATTAGAATATAATTCGAATTTTGATAATATTTAAGTACAATTTTTCAGCAATTTTGACAGCTCTACAACCGATAACCAAAAACAATAGCAGACTCTGAACAAAGGAAGACACAGGGTATAAATACATGAGGACAGTAATCAGGAAGAACTGAAATGGGTGAGGAGCTAATTAATCAAAAACCATGGCAACAAACTAGGCAGGAGAACGGAAACACAGAAAACTAAATCAAAACAGAACATAAACGTAAATGGAAGTGCATAGTAGTTAAGGACACTTTGTATAAGGTGGGTCCACTTTTTTTTCGTATGATCAGTGTTGGAAACAGTTGTCAGAGATCCAGACTGTGCCTAAAACGGTCACATTGTGACCAAAAATATTAATTTGCTGAGATATCCACTGGCGACTATATAAACTTACATGTAATGATAATTAAATTTGCGTGTAATGCCTTTTTTCCTGATTGTTTTGTGATCACATCTTTTGTTATGTTGACGATGCGCATCAAAGTTTTAGTGGAAAAACAGTCCTAATTTCTGCCGAACAGCAGCGTTAACGGCACACCTGCTAATGAAAAAACAGCTCCAGTTGTGCAGCATGAGAGAGATCTAAAATGATGGAGACGTGCGAAGTAAAAGTGCAGAAAAGCAGTCTTTGTGCACAACTTGAACGAACTCCAACAGATAAAGCTGTCAACTGTGTGGACATTAGCAGTACTGTTAACGATTCTCGTTTATATTCGATAATAATATGGCTTCTTGTTTTCAAGATCTTTAGTCTATATGCGGTGTTCTGTTAATGTGTGAACTTCCTATTATTTGTAGCGCACTTGCCATCCAGTAATCACAGTAAGCTTTGTGATTTGTTACCATTTAATAAACAAAGTATCAGCTTTAAAATTCTGCCAAATTAATAATGAAATTCAAACAATAAATACCGTTTTGGCGCTCTTTAATTAAGCACATGAGAGAATGCTTTGGCGCCTCAGTTCAAGCGGCACGTGAAACAATCATATCTTTCTCTTTACTAGTATGAAATAAACATGAATGGACACCGAAAGTTATATTATAAGATACAGTACAACTTACTGAAATGTAATATCTCATTCAGTGTTTCAAACTGCGGAAAATGAGTAAAGTTTGTAAAAAATGCCACATAATACATTTAATTCATAATAGGGTATATGTCGAACATCACCTGACCAAACCCGGACAACAGGTCTCATTGCTTCCGCTTGTCGGAGAACATGTTAACAGCCGTATTAAATAATAGCGATATCTATGGACTTTTAAGATAATCAGTTAAACTAGCTAGCTGTTTTTATTGCTGACGTTTTATTCAATTTTTATATCTAAATGTGAAAAGAATAAAAATAAAAATAAAATCTTTTAGATATCAGTTCGCATATGTGATGGACATTGGTTATGATCATCATTGGTATCTACTTTGAAGGCATCTTGAGTAAAACTGCTTCATATTTAACTAAGCATATGCAAAACGCTTGAACCAGAAGCGACGAGACCCGGTTAACAGAATACGGAAGTCTGTTGCACATAACCCCTATAACCTTTCAGCGTCCATACTCTCATTAGTCAGCTAGAAAATAGAGAGGAGCATTTTGCTAAATATGTGCTATATTGCATATTGACATTTTTACTTAACCTGTTGTCTCGGGTGACCATACGTGCCATTTTCCCAGGACGCGTCCTGGCCAGGATTTCTATATTGCCTAAAATATCTAGGTTTTGGCTTTGTTTGCGTGTGCAGACCGATCGGTGTATGACATCAAAATACCATACAGACGGTTCCTTATGCTTTCAAAATGCTCTCGAGGTATTTTGATGTCGTACACCGATCGGTCTGCACACGCAAACAAAGCCAAAACCTAGATATTTTAGGCAATATAGAAATCCTGGCCAGGACGCGTCCTGGGAAAATGGCACGTATGGTGACCCTACTGTTGTCTACATAAGAAACATACTGTACATACTGACCCCAAAACCTTTGAACGGGGGTTTAGGTTAATGTGTGGCACACCTTCCTGAATGAAAATAATGGAAACACCGAAAAACTGAAACATCCACAAATAAAGCAATTCCTCATTTCCCTTTGGATTTCAAATCTTTAACTCTTCTGTCTCTGATTTGCAGAGCTTTCATTGGCCCAGAAGAAGTTTGCTCAGTGCCTGGGTGAGTTCAAATTTGAGTACATCGGCGATGCTAAAACCGACGATGAGAAGTGTATTGGTGAGTTTTTTTTTTTTTGTTTGTTTTGTTTTTTTGCATATTTACATTTACGCACATGCATACATTTGCCTTTATTTTAATACTTGGCTGCTAGCGTGATGTGGGTGAGATTTGTGTTTATGAAGTGTGATTCATCTGTTTGTTTCAGATGGGAAGCTCACACACTGAGAAATATGTAAATACTCCTGCATAGATAAACTTTGTTAATTGTCTGCATGTATGCCATTTCAGATGAATCATTGCAAGAATTCTCCTCCTTTCTCAGAAACTTGGAAGACCAAAGAGATCTTATGGTGAGCACAACCAGTTGAGACTTGCATTAAGACTCACTCTGTTATACATTTTCAAATACTTGCAGGCTAAAAAACATTTTTGGAATCATGGTCATTTGCAAGCTGAGAGAAACAAAAAAATGTAATCAGCCTTAACATTGAGTTCAACACATACTTTATAAAGTGACATCACTTGTCTGTTTATTCCTGCACGCTTCAACGTTGTTTGAGTCACAGTTTTGCCACAGGAAGTGAGTTATATTGCCATCAGTTATTTGTGTCCTCTGTCTCAATGACTCTGTGATTACGCAAGACAGCTGCTTATGTTGAGTCATGTCACCTTAAATGAGTTGATTAGGAACTGTATTTTCAAATTCTCTGGTTGAATGTTCAGTGGCACTTGATTTAAGTCCTTAATATGCATGTTATCTGTAGTTAATTAGCAAATTGCTTTTACAGTGAAAAATGTGTAAAAATAGTTTGATTCCTTAAAAAAATTCCTATTACTGCAACAGATCCTTTCACCTGGCAGAAATGTGAGATTTTTGCATTCTTGCGTTATGAGAGGACTGTATATTCTAATGGGTGGTTTGCCATCTAGGTAGGAAGGGCTCGTGTTACATGTAGGTCATGTTAGTATTTATTTAGTATGCAGCATTAGTGAGCTGAAGGCCCTGCCCATGACTCAAAGTGCAACAGCTGACAGTTGTTTTGAGCTCAGATTTGAGCCCCACCCATTCATAACACCGCAGCAGGTCAGTGATGTTGCGGCCCCTCTCCACACTGAAGGCATGCGTGGAAGGGGTGGAGCCTACAGGCCCTGACAGGGTCAGAAAGACCGGGTAATCGTAGAGCAGTGATTCATTCTGCATGTATCTGAGTACTAACAGTCATGCCATGGGTTTCTTTTGTTATCTCATTACCTCATTTCAGGGTAAAGATGTGTTTTTATATGATGATAAACATTGCGAGAGCCTTGTTGTTAACATATGGGTTTTAGAAAATGATTGCTTTCTGAAAAAATGCTTTAAAATTCATAGATCATTTACTTAGAAAATGTAAAACATCATAACAGAATTGTGCAGATCTGCATTCATACTATTGTACTAAGCCCCTGTAGGAATTTCAATGCATTTGCATTTGCTCACAAAATTTGCCTGAGAAACTTTGCATTCACTCCCAAAACTTTTGCGATCTCTCACAAATGTTTTTTGTTAACCCCTACAAAATTTTTGCAGGCAAATGCAAAACTGGTGATGGAAATAATGGAGGAAGAATTAGATTTCAATGAGTTTGTAAGTAAACACAACGTTTCTTGGGGGAATGCAATTGTGTTGAGAATGCAAAAGTTTTGGGAGATAACGCAAAGTTTCTCAGGGTATACAAATGTATTGTGGTAGAGTGCAAAAGTTTTGCAAACGAGTGAGTGCAAAAGCATTGAAATATAATTTTTTCTGTTTCTATGTAGGCCTATTCATTTCTAGGGAATACCGGTACTTATTTTAAAATGTCAGATGGCTACAATGAAGCGTTTCACCTCAGGTGATGAACATCTTTATCACCTTTATCAACACCTTTATTGGCATTTACAATTAAAACCTAGAATGTGTTTGTGCAAGGTTTGATTAATGAAATCATCCTGTTATTGCTAATGTTTTATAAAAATAAATGCAATGATCAAATGTCCTATATCCAATGAATTTTCTTTTCACAGATGAGAAACATCACAGAGACACTGATGAAGCCTCTAGAAAAGTTTCGGAAAGAGCATCTCGGCTCAGCAAAGGTAAAAGCATAGCTCTTCCTGTCATCTCTTACATTTAGGATGTTCGCAATCATTTTAAAAGATATGAAAAACTGTACATTTATTGAAATTAAGTATTTAAAACTTGCTTCTCGTTCCATGTATTAAAAATAGTAAGTTCCTCTATTTCATTATGTTCTCATGCTATCTTCAGGCAGAGAGAAAGAGGTACGAGAAGGAAACCGAGAAGTACTACAGCTCACTAGAGAAACTTTTGAGCATGTCAGCAAAGAAGAAAGAGCCACAATTACAGGAGGTACTTCACATTTCATTCTTCCCACACACAAGATGGATGTGTAATGCAGACTATTTTCAGAAATGGTACTTCCCTTCTGTATCTCAGAAAAAAAAGATCAGATTTTTAAGTCAAGGTCAGTGGTTTGCTATATATGTTTATGGTGGTTATTTAGAGTAGGTCCTCAAAGAGTACCGCACTGGCCACATAATCTATAGAACACCAGGTTTTGAGATTGCAATTGTGCAGTTTAGGGATGTTCATTTTAACAATTTTGACTAATTAATACAATCAGTTAAACAGTTTAAAATGTCATTTAATTATTTATTTTTTCAGTAATTTATCAAAATATTTAAAAAGGTTTGCTGCATGGTTAAAATACGTTACGCATATAAAAAAAATAGTTTTTTAGGGGGAAAAAACAAGTCGCGTATAAGTCGCATTTTTTATTTAATTCAGAAATGGATCTAATACTGACGTAAATGTTTACAAACATTATAATAAACACTGTAAACATGATAGCTAGGCTATTTTAGTTCCCCTCACTCCACAACAAAGCCTTTCAATTAACAGTATTTAGAAAAGAACAAGAATTAAAAATATAAGAAGCTATAGCAATATAAACGACAAGCCAAAACTAATTAATTTATGCTAAAACAAAGCTGAAACCAACGTTGTGTCTCTCATTCTACACAAAATCAAATGTTTCCATATTCGCGATGTATTTGAATGGCAAATTATTATTTATTATGTACTTCACTCGCGTTCCAATATCCACGTAAAACAAAATGTTTTGCATAACATCACGGCAGTACTGTGATAACACTTAACGGCACAGATTTTACTACATTTTTTTTTTTTACTACATAGTTTTTTTTCAATATGTTTGACTGACTGTATTTTATTATGATAATGAACAGGCAGCATTGTCAAGGTAACAATACTTAATTTGCATAACATCACGGCAGTACTGTGATAACACTTAACGGCACAGATTTTACTACATTTTTTTTTTTTTTTTACTACATAGTTTTTTTTCAATATGTTTGACTGACTGTATTTTATTATGATAATGGACAGGCAGCATTGTCAAGGTAACAATACTTAACTGTGTGCGCATGCGGCGCCGGCGCAATCACTTAAATTTTTTCCTTAACAGTGTTAGAAACTGCTCCTTTTAGTCCTAAAGATAATCGGAATTGTAAAAGGTTTGCCTTTATTTGTGTACATTCACAATAAAAAACAAATCTTTGTGCTTTTGTAAAATAAGCCTAAAGAAAAATAGGATGCCGCTTGCTGTTTCCTTTTGCACAGCACAAAAATCAAGTGGAACTTTGCATACTAGGCTACTTGTTGCACAGTTTTTTTAGTTTTCTTAATTTATTATTTTTTATTATTATTTTTATTGTTGTTTGCTGCTTTTTGCGCATGTAAAATTAATCCCCGGGAAACAAATGTTAGTATTTTTTAACTGCTCACAGACACTTATCCTTTCTAATTTAATTAAATTCTAATTAAAATAATCTTGTCGGTTAACGGCTAACAATCGGTTAACGAGCGTCGGTTAGGAAAAATAACCGAAATGAACATCCCTATTGCAGTTAAAATATAGGTGTATAGTTGCTATGCTTTTGTTGCAGTACTAGTGATGGCTTTTCTTTTCTTTTGGTTTGCTTTAGGTAATTAAAGTCTGTTGTTATTTCTGCCATATTTAAAAAGCTTGGCATCCCACACAATTCCTCTCCAAGCATGGGAAAGTGAAAGAGTGCAGTGTATTAACCTGCTTAAATCTCGATCAATCAATGTATGCCCATCATGCCTAAATGTTGTATACACTGAGAATGAAAAGCACTAAAGACTGTTGCTATTTTTATTGTGGGCCGTTATGTTACTGCGGAGCATATGACGTGCGTGTTTGGATCAAGGGCAGTGGTTTTAGCATTGGGCTGTTTTGAGTCAGACTGGTGTGTATGATTCCTAGAAATGTTGAAGAACACCAGGGACTGCTCAGTTATTCGACAATTCATAAGACACTTAAGTTATCATGGGCCATGCTCACATGTCACTGCAGCCAGATATGTTCAGGGATGAGCATTTTGGTCATTCTGTCAATCAAGTATGCAGCAAATTGTTCACAAACAAACCTGTATTCAACACCTCACAAATAAAATTTTCATAGTAAAGTACAATGTGAGCAACTCAGGCTGCTCAGAGATTTATTTTATTTATTTTATTTTTATTAATGCTGTCTCCACAGTTGGCTCTCCCACCGGTCCTACCTTTACAGTCCAGAAAAGGCACACTGTCTAATGCATGAGCTTAATGATAATAAACAAAACCGTGCATCTGACAGTTTATAAAAAAGTCTGATGATTATAGTAATGTTATATTAGGAACTAGATAATGTTACAAACACCATTTTGGTTAAACTGTTGGCATCCATTTATCTTGTTTGCAACAAACTCTTGTTGTCAAGATGTCAGCTGCGTGAATTTGAGAGTTATTCCTGTCTTCCATACACACCAGAACGCTTAACACACACCGAACAACAGCTTAAAGAATTAATGTCAGCATTTATATGTTTTAATTTAAGTTCAAGAACTTTTTTGGTAAAGCTTTGAGACTTTATACCTGCATTACGGTGTGTATTTGTGATGGAGATCGCCAAGAAATGTTTCTAAGAGACGTTAGTGTGATAAACTATGTTTAACTGTATTTGCACGCATAATAACTATATTACAGTAGTTAGTGTTTAGTACTGTTTACATTCAGACAAAGCTTTACACAATTACATCATCAAAGACAAAGTTGTTTCTTGGTTTTCAAATATTCCATTTTCAGAATATGGCCCTCTGTGTCATAAAGGCAGGCAACACACGGTCAGGTAAACACAGGAAAAATACAGACAGTTTTTTGAAAGACCCATTTCTCCACCTGCATATCCTAAGTCACTTTTAATTTTTTATGTGATGATTTCTCTCTCTGTTTTCTTCAACCTTTTCATCTCAACTGGTATGGAACTTTTTTTCATTCTGTCTGTCTTTCAGGCGGACATGTCGGTGGAAGCAACGAGACAGCACTTTCAGGAGTCGTCTCTGGAGTACGTTTGCAAGCTGCAGGAGATACAGGAGAGGAAAAAGTTTGAGTGTGTTGAGCCTGTGAGTGCGTGCCCTTTCATCCAGATTGTCATTCAACTTGATTTATTTCAACATTGTTTGCCTGTCGACAGCATCTGATATGCTGTCACTTATCACGAAAAAGAAAGGAAACACATTTACTGAAATTCACTCTCAGTGCTGTGAGGTGATTGTACAGCACAAGAATAAATGTTACAAATATGCATTTCTGTGTATACAGTACTTATACTGTACTGTGTGTGCATATACACTATTTTATAAGTATTGCCATAACACTTCAAACTGTTCTTCACCAAACAGAATAGCAAAAATAAGGGCTATCTTTGGAATGAAATATTACTTTGGCATGTTGTAAGTATGCAGATTTTAAACAAACTGAATTAAAATAACGTATAAAATGATAACTGGACACTATGTATATATAGATAAGTTAAGCCATAATAATATTGTTAATATATACACTACCATTCAAAAGTTTGGGGTTGTTAAGACTTATTATTAAACATTTTTTGAAGGCCTCTTAAGCACACCAAGGCTGCATTTATTTGATTAAAAATACTGGAGAAAAAAAAAACGGTAATATTGTGGAAATATTATCAATTTAAATTCCTGTGAATGTAATATTCCTGTGACAGCAAAGTCTTCAGAGTCACATGATCCTTCAGAAATAATAGGACGACTGCACCGTATTGAGGGGAGGATGGATGGGGCCATGTATTGCGAGATTTTGGGCAGCAACCTCCTTCCCTCAGTAAGAGCATTGAAGATGGGTCGTGGCTGGGTCTTCCAGCATGACAATGACCCCAAACACACAGCCAGGGCAACTAAGGAGCGGCTCCGTAAGAAGCATTTCAAGGTCCTGGAGTTGCCTAGCCCGTCTCCAGACCTGAACCCAATAGAAAATCTATGGAGGGAGCTGAAACTCCATGTTGCCCAGCGACAGCCCCAAAACCTGAAAGATCTGGAGAACACCTGTATGGAGGAGTGGGCCAAAATCCCTGCTGCAGTGTGTGGTCAAGTGGTCAAGAACTACAGGAAGCGTCTGACCTCTGTAATTGTAAACAAAGGTTTCTGTACCAAATATTAAGTTCTATTTTTTTATTGTATCAAATACTTATTTCATGCAATAAAATTGAAATTAATTATTAAAAAATCATACAATGTTATTTTCTGGATTTTTTTTTTGATTCGGTCTCTCACAGTTGAGGTGTACCTACGATGAAAATTACAGAACTCTCCATTCTTTGTAAGTGGGAAAACTTGAAAAATCAGCAGTGTATCAAATACTTATTTGCCCCACTGTATACAGATAAGTTAATATTGTTAATATATACACTACCATTCAAAAGTTTGGGGTTGTTAAGACTTATTATTAAACATTTTTTGAAGGCCTCTTAAGCACACCAAGGCTGCATTTATTTGATTAAAAATACTGGAGAAAAAAAAACGGTAATATTGTGGAAATATTATCAATTTAAATTCCTGTGAATGTAATATTCCTGTGACAGCAAAGTCTTCAGAGTCACATGATCCTTCAGAAATAATTTGAATATGCTAATTGGCTGCTGAAGAAATGTTTCTTATTAATATCAATGTTGAAAACAGTAATGCTGCTTACTGTTTGAACTGTAGTGTAGCCTACCTTATTCCAAATAATTAAATTAAGTAGAATATTTAGTGAGAGCTGTAAGCGCAGCATGCTTACATTTGGTACTTTTACCACACACAAAAGCCTTCTATAAATATAGGTGTGTCCAAGCCATTTACAAGTGGGGCGAGTATTCTGACTAATTCACATCGTCAAATTGCATAAGCAAATTAATATCCTTTATATGGAACCTTAGTGTTTTTGCAGAGCAAATATTTACCTGATTACTTTCACTTTTCCAGTTTATGGACATCTATATGACTTTCTACTTGAAAATGTGTCTTTTGCTTTGAATTAAATATTGCATAGGGATTTAGACACTAAGATTAGATAAGATTATATAAACTCGAGATTATCTGTCCCAGTGTAATGATACCGTATATCATATAATGATAATGATATAATGTGTTCTCATTTTTTACTTTCTCTAATTCTCTTCTTCCCCCTCTCTCTTATACAGATGCTGGCATTCTTTCAGACTGTATTTACTTTCTATCATCAGGGATATGAGTTGGCCAAAGACTTTGACCATTATAAAAAGGCCCTTCAAATCAATATTCAGAATGTAAGTAAAAATGTAATAATGTTTGCGACTTTAATACAAAACTTTAGATCTATTTTTAAATGATTTATTAAATATATATTCCATCTATCAAATCTTTGTTTGCCAAGTATATAAAACAGCTATAAACACACTTTTAGAGTGATTCTCCAAGATTTATCAGTCTTCACTCAGCTTCTTCTGGTTAACACTATTGGCTTGCAGAGTGACATGGAAAAGAATTATTGAGACAGGATACAGCAGCATTTTGAGAGGGCCAAGGCTTCCAAGGGAAACTTAAAGGCCTTTGTTTGCATTGACCTTCCATTGTTTAACTTCTAAGCCGGAGGTTTGAGAGCCGACTTTCCTCCCCGGTCCTATTTGATTGGACCACATCACTGTCCTCATTGGTGTTTTGTTTTTTTGATCATTTATACATCGGATGGTCAGGGTCAGAGTTCTGAGGATGTATAGCTTGAAATCATGGTTCTTAGATTAGCACAATTAAGTATGTCGATGGGGAATACACTGGGAAATTACTTATTGTGTAATAAGCCATCTCAGTGAATTCCCAGTTACCAGGTCCTCACAGAATCTTCATAGTTGATTTTGTTATTGTTTTATATTTGTGCCTCTGCTTTCAGACACGGAGTCGTTTTGAGGGCACGCGCTCTGAGGTGTACGAGTTAATGAAGAGAATCAAAGAGTCGCCACAGGAATACAGACAGACCAGCCCCATCAGCAGCGAGGGCTATCTTTACGTACAGGAGAAACGTACGCAAGACATTTTATGATGTAACACTGGGGTGCCTTATCTTTTACTGACTGTCATGTCATGTGTCTTGTGCTCCGCTGGTTGCATTGCTGATAGATATTGCTATTTCCACAGGACCTCCTCCTTTCGGATCCAGCTGGGTGAAACGCTATTGCACGTTTGTCAAAGAACAGAAAATTCTACACATGAAGACATTTGACCAGAGATCAGGCGGGAAGCTTGTAAAATATCATCACAAATGACACATTAGTCATGATAATGGCATGGTTCATAAAATATAAATTTATAGCTGATCTGCTGTTCACAGAATGTTCTGTATCCATTCAGGGTGAGACTGAATCTGTTACAATCAAGTCTCGTGTCCGCAAAACCACAGACACTCTTGACAGGAGGTTCTGCCTAGACATAGAGATCACAGATCGGTATGTTGGACATGCGCCCCAAGTTGAGATGGTAACTGTGAATAAATGTAATGATGCATTTCTGATTCACAAGAAATCAGGTAATTTAGATTAAAGATTATTAGCACACTACCTTAAGTGACGTGACATGTGGCCAAGTATGGTGACCCATACTTGGAATTAGTGCTCTGCATTTATCCCATCCAAAGTGCGCACACATACAGCAGTGAACACACACACACACACACACCGGGAACACACACCCGGAGCAGTGGGCAGCCATTTATGTTGCGGCGCCCGGGGAGCAGTTGGGGGTTCAGTGCCTTGCTCAAGGGCACCTCAGTCGTGGTATTGAAGGTGGAGAGAGTGCTGTACATTCACTCCCCCCACCTACAATCCCTGCGGTACGAGACTCGAACCCGCAACCTTTGGGTTACGAGTCCGACTCTCTAACCATTAGGCCTCGACTTTAACCCTTCTTCTGTGCTGAAAATCCTTTTCCTAATTTGGTGTTATATATTATCACCAGATCTTGGATTTAATCTTTTTGTCTGAGGTGCATAAGCTTAGTTCTTTGAGGCCTACAATCGGTCAGCCAAAAAGAAATACAAAACCTGTGCTAATTTAAAGAAAACAAGTTGATGATAAAAAGATTCCAATATTATTCGCATTTCGCGCTGGTGAATCGTAACCAGGTTGTAAGTACTGCTTCAAAATGCCAAAAGAAGGAGCAGGAGCAAGAGACAAAAAATGGAGTAGGCAATTTATTGAAAACTGAATTTAAACTCAGGCTGTTCATCAGCTGATCAAAAGTTTAAGACCATAGCCTTAAAAAGTTAAACTATGCTGAAAAATATGACTTTCATGTCATTGTCCTTCAGGCAGTCACACTGTCATGATCTCCTGATGGCAAAGTCAAAAAGGTTTTCGGTCTTTGAACGTGGCAGGACTGTTGAGCCGCGCAAGCATTGGCTCTCGCAACGCGCCATCGCTGCCAAGGTTGGACGCATGTAAGACAGTCATTTTACATTTATAAGAGTTATGGGACAAAAAAAGTCAAGTGGTAGACCCAAAAAAGCATCACCTGCACTGAGCCGGAGGATCCGACGGGCTGTCCGTGAAGAGACAGGCCGATCCTCGACCCAGATTAAGGCCCTTACTGATGCTGACTGCAGCCCAATAACCTTAAGACGGCATCTGCAAGAGAAGGGCTTAAAGAACAAAATAGCCAGCTGCCGTTTGACGCCCCTGCACAACCTGAAGCTTAATTTTCCCATTGAAGGAAAAAGCACCCCAGATCATGATGGAGCCTCCTCCACTGTGCCATGTAGGAAACATCTCCAGTGGGATCTCCTTGTCATGCCAGTAACGTTGGAAGCCATCAGGACCGTCCAGGTTACGTTTTTTCTCGTCAGAGAATAAAACTGTCTTCCACCTTTCAATGTCCCATGTTTGGTGCTCCCTTGCAAATTCCAAACGGGCAAGTTTGTGGCATGGGAGGAGATGTGGCCTTTGAAGACGTTTTTTTGTTATATAAGCCCTTCTCTCGCAGATGCCGTCTTATGGTTATTGGGCTGCTGTCATCATCAGTGAGGGCCTTAATTTGGGTCGAGGATCAGCCTGTGTCTTCCGGCTCAGTGCAGGAGACATTTTTTTGGGTCTACCACTTGACTTCTTTTGTCCCATAACTCTCAGTATCTTTTAAGAAATGTAAAATGACTGTCTTACTGCGTCCAACCTCGGCAGCGATGGCGCGTCGCGAGAGCCCTTGCTTGTGCGGCTCAACAGTCCTGCCACGTTCAAAGACAGAAAACCTTTATACCTTTACCATCAGGAGTTCATGACAGTGTGACTGCCTGAAGGACAATGACATGAAAACCATATTTTTGCGCAGATTTTAACTTTTCAAGGCTATGGTCTTAAACTTTTGATCAGCTGATGAACAAGCCTGTTTGAGTTTAAATGCAGTTTTTAATAAATTGCCTGCTCTCTATTTTTTTGTCACTTGCTCCTTTTTCTTCTTTTGGCATTTTGAAGCAGTACTTAAACCTGGTTATGATCCACCCGCGCGAATACAAATAATTGTAATGTTTCCACCGGTCTTAAGATTTTGTTCAGGAGTGTATGTATGTATATATAATTTACTCGTTCCCAGTCATTTTTTTATGGAAACACCATAGGTGTAACAAAGTGGGGGAAAAAATCCCCAAGTACAGTAAATATCTTTTTTTTTTTCTCGATTTCTTTTTCTTTTTCTTTTTTGGGCAAAGTTAGTATTAGTCCAATATGTTAACATTAACTAGCATTTTCGTGAAAATCCTCTCAGGTCAAAATGACTGGAACAAAACACGTTTTAACAACTCTGACTCACCTGTAAACTGATAGTCTTCAAGTAGATTTTTGCTTAAAAATAGGAAGCAAATCACACATAATTATTCCTTTATGATTGTTATAAGTTAAGAATTTAACTTCAGATGATAATAAACAAGAAATAATAAGGATTGTAAATACCTCTGAAACTACTGGGTTTAACATGAGAGTGCGAGACGTACGTCAGAGGATAAGGAAAACCAAAATATTTTACCCAGGAACTTGGTGCTGCTCACCCTCTCCACAGTCACACCATTGACGGTCAGAGGAGCATGCTGAGTGCGCACTCTCCTGAAGTCAACAACAATATCCTTCGTCTTCTCCACATTCAGAGAGAGATTGTTGTCACTGCACCACCCGTCCAGGCGGCTCACCTCGCTCCTGTAGTTTGTCTCATCTCTGTTGCTAATGAGACCCACTACAGTCGTGTCATCCGCAAACTTGATAAGGAGGTTGGAGTTGTGTGACGGTGTGCAGTCGTGGGTCAGCAGAGTGAAGAGGAGGGATCATCTAGGATACACTAAGGGCCCTCATTAATCAAAGCCAAAGCTGACCTGGGCAGAGTGTATGATGAACGTAAATCATGCATAGTGGAATATTTTCAATGGCACATCAACACATCAAAATTTTTCCAAATTAGCAGGTGAATCAATCTCAATGTGAATATGCATTTGACTTCAATAACCTTGTGTATTACCTAATGAAATTGAGAAAAAATAGGCTGGGATGTGATTTTTATCCATTTGGAATTGATTGAACAGTCAAGAAATAGTTAATTGGCACCCTAGAGTTGCATCATGTGTACATTACTCCTGTTGGAGACTCTTATTCTCTTTATTATTCATACACCTCAAAGCATGTGCCCTAAAACAACTATGTCTGATGCAGATGCATAACCTTAAATGAATAGAAACATGAAATGGAAAGACACTTCACTGATGTTGCATATTGATAAGACAATTATGGAGATGTTCAAAAACAAATCATGCACAGTAAGACCAGTAATCTACAATAAAAAAGCAAATGAGTTGAGTTTTGATTTCATATGAGGCAGCAGGCTAAGTTTATGCGGTTGTTGTTTGTTTTTCTAGACCAAGCGCAGTGCTGACGGTCCAGGCACTCTCAGAAGATGACTACAGATTCTGGATGCATGCGATGGGTGGAAAGGAGTCGGTGTGTCAAACCCTCACTTCAGCTTCTAACTAGTGATCGGCCGATATTGATATTTTATTACCGATACTAATTATTTGCATGTTTATGTGCACGATAACCGATATGTAGAACCAATATTTATTTACTGTTATAAAGTAAATAAATGACTGAGTGAAGTAAGAACATACTTCACTTTGGTTTTTCCTCTTTTCAGTCATCTTTTTTTTTCAAGTGTTGAAAATTAGCAGTCTTTCATGTTTAATTTAATCTTTATATTACAACAATAAAAAACATTTTATTTATAAAAAGCATCAACAGCAACAACACTAATATTAACAATAAGCAAAATAAGTGTAGAATGTCTAATGTTTTCAAATGGAGAAAATAAATAAAGAACAGGACAACAGCTATATTCAAAAAAGACAATTCTCTGTTTCTCAGTTGACAAAACCTAAATAACTTTTGGGAAGATAGCTTGGAAAGATAGCTTTTAGAGCTGCACTAGTGTTCAAAAGTTTGCAGTCGGCACATTTAAAAAAAAAAAAAAATTAATAATTTTATTCAGCAAGCATTAAAAGTGGCAGTAAAAACTTGTACATTGTTTCAGAAACCTATTTCAAATAAATGCCGTTCTTTTGTTTTTTATATTTACCAAAATAGAATCATGTAGATGTTGTTGTTGTTGTTTTTTTTAGCACAAAACAAGCATATTAGAATGATTTCTGAAGGATCATGTGGCACTCAATACTGGAGTAATGGCTGCTGAAAATTCAGCTTTGCCTTGACGGGAATAAATTACATGTAAAATATATTTAAATAGAAAAAAAATATTTTAAAATTTAAATAATATTTCAATTTTGTCACTGAGCAACATGATGGTGTTTCGTCCTTCGTTTAAATGATTCGGTTCAGTCGCAATGACTCACTAATTAACCGTGATTTGCTGCCACCTGCTGGCGGTTTTAATTTCAAATTTTGGCTTTTTTCTTTGATTTAAAAAAAAAAAAAAAGAAATTAATAATTTTATTCAGCAAGCATTAAAAGTGGCAGTAAAAACTTGTACATTGTTTCAGAAACCTATTTCAAATAAATGCCGTTCTTTTGTTTTTTATATTTACCAAAATAGAATCATGTAGATGTTGTGGTTGTTGTTTTTTTAGCACAAAACAAGCATATTAGAATGATTTCTGAAGGATCATGTGGCACTCAATACTGGAGTAATGGCTGCTGAAAATTCAGCTTTGCCTTGACGGGAATAAATTACATGTAAAATATATTTAAATAGAAAAAAAATATTTTTAAATTTAAATAATATTTCAATATTACTGTGTTTTTGCATGAGACTTAAAAAACCTTGCCGACTTCAAACTTTTGAACAGTAGTGTATACTTCAAAGTGTTTTAATGATCATCAATGGTGCCTTGTTTGGTATATTAGTTCTGTTCTGTTTGGTGTGGTGTGTTTTATGCTGGTCTGGTTTGTGTTTTCTGATGTTTATCTCTCACACACAGATGCTGTATCTCAACCGGACACATTCAAGAGAAAGAGGAAGTGAGTGAACTCAAATTAATATCAGAGCTTCAAGTTTGCCTTTAGTTGTGCTTATGAACAAAAAATTATTATTTGTATTTTTGTATTTATTGCTGATGGCATGAGACTTAAAAAACCTTGCCGACTTCAAACTTTTGAACAGTAGTGTATACTTCAAAGTGTTTTAATGATCATCAATGGTGCCTTGTTTGGTATATTAGTTCTGTTCTGTTTGGTGTGGTGTGTTTTATGCTGGTCTGGTTTGTGTTTTCTGATGTTTATCTCTCACACACAGATGCTGTATCTCAACCGGACACATTCAAGAGAAAGAGGAAGTGAGTGAACTCAAATTAATATCAGAGCTTCAAGTTTGCCTTTAGTTGTAGTGCTTATGAACAAAAAAATATTATTTGTATTTTTGTATTTATTGCTGATACATAAATTGTGATATTTATGATATTTGTGTATTTCCATAGTTGATGCCCAGTTGGATGATGTGGGGATAACCTTTGTGAAAAATTCAATAAATGCCATTGAAACCAGAGGTAACTCTCCATGTTTTAATATATGAAAATCATATACAAAATAAAGGAACGCAAAATGTATCAGGCAGGAATTATAGTTTTTTAAGAAAAAAAAAGTCAACCATCTGCTTAACCTTCAATAGTTCACATAGTGTAGTAACAACTTCTGAACACTAGAGGTCAGAATGATCTAGCAGTTTTTCTCAGCACACACCAACAACCTGTTGTGCTTTGTTCAGGATAATACAGGAGAAGCTTAGTGTGCTGGTGTTTAGTTTCCCATATCAGCTGGGATTTGAATAAAGTACCTCTATTACAAAACATGTTTTTATTTTCACAGGTATTAATGATCAGGGTCTGTACAGAGTGGTCGGGGTCAGTTCAAAAGTACAGAAGCTTCTCAGTTCGATGATTGGTAAGTTGAGCCTTATTTGATTGCTCTGTAATTGTTCCTCAGATTTATGTAATTTACTTGGAAGCCCTATAATTGTATCAATAGCCAGTGTCCTGTTGAGTCTCATTGGCATTCAGACATTCATCTTGTCTGGTGTCTGTCTGTACGTCCCTTTGTCCTGTCCTTTAGGTGATACCTGACTCCATTACTGCATGCAGGCAATCAGATTTCCAGACACACACTCTCTCTCTCTCTCTCTCTCTCTCTCTCTCTCTCTCTCTCTCTCTCTCTCTCTCTCTCTCTCTCTCTCTTTTCCTTTCCCCTCTCTCCCTTCTTCTAAACATCGCGCCCCTTTGTCCTGTCCTTTAGGTGATACCTGACTCCATTACTGCATGCAGGCAATCAGATTTCCAGACACACACTCTCTCTCTCTCTCTCTCTCTCTCTCTCTCTCTCTCTCTCTCTCTCTCTCTCTGTCACTCTCTCTCACTTTTCCTTGATCCTATTTCGCTTCTTCCAAAAATCGAGCACACGCTGATCACCATCTCATGCTCTATTATCATCCTGTCCCATACCTGGCTTTCTTTCTTTCCGTGTCTATTTCGCTTGCTCTCCTGCAGTCGTAGCATGAGCTGGTATCCCTCTGCTCTGAATGCTAAACGCTGTGTCGAATCGGCAGGCTGCCTGAGCCCCTGCTGCTACATGAACTCCGCCACTCTAGAGACTAATAGCCATTAACACTCTATACGGTTCCACTGTCCTCATCTGAGAACAGCCTGAGCCCTTGTAGTAGGCTCATGAACTTAAAACCTGCCAAATATCCAGAGCACAACCAACTATCCATCTCATTTTCAAATTCAGAGCACTCATTCACAGGTTCTGCAGTTGTTGGATTATATCCAGACATTCTCTATATTTAAAGTCTATACGGTTATTATGTAAAGAATTGTGTAAGTAAACCTTTACATCAGAATGACCAAACAAAATTCCATATGTTAATATCCAGATAAGTCAGTGCCACAGCGATATAATCATAGTGCTAAATTAAATGTCTGTATGCCAATTCCAGTTGCTATATTTGTTTTCTTGACAGACTTTTTCTCACCAAAATGACTCAGGAGGATGAGCATACTGTACATTATGTTGCATTGAGATGTCAGTAGAATGCAAATTGAGTGTTAAGATGAGTGCTAATATGTCTTGAGTAACTATTGTGCTCACAGGGACACTGGTTGAAGATTCAGGTAGCTGTCATGTCATTTTAATCAAGCAATAAGTAATGCGACTGTTGCCATTTATCATTTACAGAACATGATCAGGCTTATAATAATTTCTAATTTCAAACCACTCTATTGTAGGGTGGTTGAGAGAGCTCAACGCGCTGCATCTTAGGAAAACGCATGCAAATAGAAAAAGCACCAGCAAATTAAGAAAACATCATTATCACTTTGATAACACTGCAAATGTTATCTGCAAACGCGCTGCAAATACTCACAACACAACCAAATACAGAAATGCTCTGCAAATACTTGCAACACAACCAAATACAGAAAAGCATTTCAAGTAGCACAGACCACAACGGAAATGTTTCAAAGGGACCCCAACAACCCTTATGAAAATTAACAATGGGTTTATTAAAATAAAAGTGTAGTAACCATGTTTTTTGGTGTATTGAATTACCATTGGTATAACCACAGTTGTACAAATGCATGGTTAATGTAGCAAAACCATGGTTAATTTGTGGTTACCGTCGATGGTTTAACTATAGTAACCAGTTTTTTTTTCTTTTGGTAGTGAAACCATGGTTACGTTTTGGAAGGGAAGTTGTAAAAGTAAGTTAGCCAGCTTACATAACGTTTCACAGTTACAGTATTTGTGTATTTCGTCAGCTTATTAGGCTAATAATATCCAAAAAAGCTAAGGAATCATATGATCAGGATGTTAAAATAAACAAAAATCCCACCTATCAGAGCAGCTATTGATTTTTTTTTGCAGCGTGTTTCTGTATTAGGTCGCATTGTGAGTATTTACTACACGTGTCAAACTGATGAAGATGTTTTCTTAATTTGCTGGTGTTTTTTTCTATTTGCATGTATTTTTTTTCATTTGCAGTGCCTTGAGCTCTCTCGGCCACCGTACTATTGCTTGCCTGTAGCATGAATATAGAATGTACCATTAACCAGAGGAAGTTAGGGGAAAAGTAGCCTCATGAACTTGGGGAGGGGGAAAAAATGATGCTGCAAATTATTACTTATTTACAAAAGATTTCTAGTTAAAATAAATATAGTTTTTAAACCCTCAATACATAAAAAAAAAATATTAAGCAGTAATGAGAAGAAATGTTTCTTGTGCATCAAATCAGCATATTAGAATGATTTCTGAATGATCACGTGACACTGAAGACTGGAGTAATAATGCTGAAAATTCAGCTTTTACATCACAGAAATAAATTACATTTTAAGATATATTCAAATGGTTAACAGTTATTTTAAATTATTATTTTAAATATTGCTGTTTTTACTATATTTTTAATCAAATAAAGGCAGACTTCTGCAAAACTTACTCCTAACCTTATTAACAGTAGTGTGTGGACATGTGTATTCCCAGCTGTCTGGGGCTTGAGGTTAGGGTATTGAGCATCAGTGTTTTAAAAGAGAGCAGAACTGTGAAAGAGGGAATGTTAGTATCTCTCTCAATTTCCTCTCTGCTGTTTATGCCGTCATCAGTGGACTCCATTATAAAATGTAAATACACAGTATTTTCTCAGCGGAGTATTAAAGGGGTCATAAGATGCGATTTTAAGTTTTCCTTTCTCTTTGGAGTGTTACAAGCTGATTGTGAATAGATAAGATCCCTAAAGTTGCAAAGACTAATGCAACATGCAACGCGTAAAAAGACAGTATAAGTCATTATAATCAGTAATTATGTCCCCACTTGATGCAATAAATGCCTCATTTATAATGGGTTTTACTGGTTTTGTCTCATCGCTCCAGGACACGGCATCACAGTATGGTAAGGGCGTAACATTTCCGTCACACGCTTGAGGTATTCGGCCAATCACAACGCACTGGATAGCTGGCCAATCAGAGCACACCTCGCTTTTCAGACCGATGAGCTTTGTAAAAATCAACGCGTTTCAGAAAGGCGGGGCATAGAGGAGAAACAATAATGTACAGTATGTGGAAAATAATGTGTTTTTTGAACCTTAAACCGCATAAACACATTTCATTACACCAAATACACAAAATAATGTTCTTTTTAGCAACATCATATGACCCCTTTAAATACTGTGGTCCCATCCTCGTGTTGGCCAGCAGGCTGAATTCATCTACGTGGCTGAATACCATTGGACTTGAGGTTTAAGACAGGGCATATTTTCATGCTTTTGCAAATGGCACAAAATGGTTCAAACTGCCTCTGTTTTGATTTAGAATGAATCGACTTAAAAGGCTAAAATTTTGTACAGTACATATGTGGCCTTAGACTTTTCTGATTGTCTACTGTGTTCTATAAAAACTCACTCAGACATTACCATGGTAACAGCTAGCCAGACAGAGAGGTGAATGTCAGTGCTTTGGTTGAATTCTTCAAACGTGTCAAAGCCCGTTACAAACTTGATTTACAAACTCAACTCAAAGCAGATTGTTTTGCACATTACACATTTGCATACTCTGTCCATCCTCCTATCAGGAAAGTATTTACAGATCCACAAACCCATTCGTGAGCAGTGGTACAACATGAAAGTGAGGATGAGAAATAAAATGTCTGCCCCTCATATCGTCCACACCCTGACCTCAGACCTTTTTATCCATCTTGCTTTTTTTTATGTCTTTCTCACTGGACTTGATCTATATTGAGAGTCCTAATCAGGTCCCTAATAAGGTGACATTATAACTGTCTTAGAAAAGTTTTACCATGAGTTTATTTATTCATCATTTATTTCTGCACCTTTCAAATGTGTTGTGTGCTTATTTTGTTTGTACATTTTTTCTGTTGTCCCAGATGTTTAAAAGTTTGGGGTCAATAAGATTACATGTTAATATATTCAAATAGAAAACAGTTAATTTACATTTTAACAATATTACTGTTTTTACTGTATTTTGATCAAATAAATGCAGCCTTATTGAGCATAAGAGACTTCTTTGGAAAAATAAATAAATACCAGCCAAAAACTTTTGAACAGATGGGTTTATTATTACAATTTAAAGTAATCGTAAGCCATTTCTAATATTAATGCAAAAAATATTTAGATGATGACTGACACACAATTGTGGCGTTATTTATACCACAACCATAGTTTTTGCTATAGTTTTTTAATATAATTTGAACTTTAATTCTTTATTGTTTTGTGATCTGTAGATGAGAAGAGTAGTGAAATAGATTTAGCAGCCAGTGAGGACTGGGATGTCAAAACCATCACCAGTGCTTTAAAACTTTACCTGAGGTGAGTTTAAACTTTCTGCATTCTGTTCCTACTTGCAGATAATAAACAGCATAGTGAGTGAGTGAGTGAGTGAGTGAGTGAATAAATGTTCCTTTCACTAAATGTACTGATTGTAATTTGACACAATACGCCGTGCCCATTCATCCTCAACCCATTTGCTTGTTTCAAAAGAAACTTCAGTGTAAAGCTAAATTCACATGTGAACCCTCAGAAAGAAACTTATGGGCCTCTTCATTTATGAATTACATTGAATCTCAAATAAAAGTATCAAGGATAAATGAGTTCATGTGAAATATGTCAGTTTTTTAATGATTTGTCAGATTCACAGTGGGACATCAATAAGATTACATGTTAATATATTCAAATAGAAAACAGTTAATTTACATTTTAACAATATTACTGTTTTTACTGTATTTTGATCAAATAAATGCAGCCTTATTGAGCATAAGAGACTTCTTTGGAAAAATAAATAAATACCAGCCAAAAACTTTTGAACAGATGGGTTTATTATTACAATTTAAAGTAATCGTAAGCCATTTCTAATATTAATGCAAAAAATATTTAGATGATGACTGACACACAATTGTGGCGTTATTTATACCACAACCATAGTTTTTGCTATAGTTTTTTAATATAATTTGAACTTTAATTCTTTATTGTTTTGTGATCTGTAGATGAGAAGAGTAGTGAAATAGATTTAGCAGCCAGTGAGGACTGGGATGTCAAAACCATCACCAGTGCTTTAAAACTTTACCTGAGGTGAGTTTAAACTTTCTGCATTCTGTTCCTATTTGCAGATAATAAACAGCATAGTGAGTGAGTGAGTGAGTGAGTGAGTGAATAAATGTTCCTTTCATTAAATGTACTGATTGTAATTTGACACAATACGCCGTGCCCATTCATCCTCAACCCATTTGCTTGTTTCAAAAGAAACTTCAGTGTAAAGCTAAATTCACGTGTGAACCCTCAGAAAGAAACTTATGGGCCTCTTCATTTATGAATTACATTGAATCTCAAATAAAAGTATCAAGGATAAATGAGTTCATGTGAAATATGTCAGTTTTTTAATGATTTGTCAGATTCACAGTGGGACAGTCCTTTCAGTGACAAAATATAATTGTATGCTGTTTTATTCAACATTTAATTAATATTGCTTTTAATTCATTTCTGTAGTTGATTTGTCACAATAGAATAGCACAAGGCAGCTTTTGTAACGCAGCAGCAGCAGAGCTGTATGTGTGTATGAATGATATTGATGTGCTGGGCTCATTTTGGGTTAACAGTGCTGGGACGTGTGCCAGAGCCTGAGCGAAAGTACCTTCAGTTGAACTTGGTTATCACTGAGTATGTGTGTGTTTGTGTGCTCATCTAATTTCTTGCAGTGATCGGCCACATTAATCATAGTGTTGTGTATATAATAATGCCCAAATAAAGCCGATAAATCTCTCCCTCTCTCTCTCTCAAGGAGCCTTCCAGAGCCACTAATGACATACAAGCTTTATAAGGAGTTCATCGTCCCTGCAAGTAAGGTCTTTGTCCTTGCTTAGACAATAATCAAGCAATACCCAGCCAATTACTTGTCAAAAGCCATAAACTTAGAGTATGTGCATGTCTGTGAGAGAAGAGCTTATGATTTGTGAAACTATAAGGTGGGATTTAATGCTTGCTGAAAGTATCACTGAATTAAATTTCAGTGAAGGATTTTCAAAATAGGAAAATGACATCAGCAGAGATGTGTCGTTGTCTTAGGTCTCGGAGGTGCTATAAGTCAATAGTGGCAAGCCTAATAACACTAAATGTACAAAGGCAGAATTTGTACTAATTAGTTATTTAGCTTTTATGAGGGGCACGTGTACAGAAACTTATTTTATTCAGGTTCTGGAGCAACATGGGGTTGACCATCCCTGAGCTTTAGTCACTACACCTCACCGGCCTATACAGTTAGACCCAGTGATGTTATTGTCAACTAAAACCATTAAAAAAATGACTTAACTGAAATCAAGCTGAAATTAAATAAATTATAAATATTAGATAAAAACTTTGGCAACTACAGTAACTGAAATAAGTTTAATTTGAAGTATTAAAGATTGGTTACACCAGCCAATTATTATTTGCATTTTAATAGTAAAAACTTCAAAACTGAAAGGAATGGAAGTATGGGAATTATGTGGAAACCAAAAGAACTTATTTCCTGAACCAACTTTGAGGTGTATCTTGGGATGCTTCTTTAAACCGTTTTTTAAGGAGTTGTCATATATGCTGTGCATTTGCTGGCTACTTTTCTTATACTATTTGGTCCTACTAATTTAATCATATATATATATATAAAATTATTATTATTATGAAAATGTATTTTAAATATACATTTTTATTTGAAAGTATTTATACGTAGGAGCAATATATATTTGTCTATAAATCTAATTATACATATTTAAGCGTGTACATGTAGGTTTAATAGGTATAAATTGTAAAACTGCATATTACATGCCGTCTTCTAAACCAATCCCCCCTCCCCTTTTTTGTCTTTTTAATTTTTTTTTGTCTACACAGAGAGCGCTACTCCAGAATCTAGAGTTCAGGCCATTCACTGTCTGGTTCATAAACTGCCAGAGAGGAACAGATTAGTGCTCAGTCTGGTTACCAAGCATCTTGCCAAGTGAGTGGAAACTGGTTTTTCTCTGGTCTGTATACACAATTTTTTATTATTATTTTGTGTGTGTGTGTGTGTGTGTGTGTGTGTGCACATTCTCTGTTTTCTTTCTCCAACCTTTTTACTTCTCTCGGCTGTCAGCCACTATTTTCAATCATTATTTCCAACTTTCTCCCTCATTCTGTTCTTACCGTCTGTACACAAAAACACACCTTCCTACAGGCAGCACCCGTAGAAACATATGTAGGCTACCTCTGTTGCTGAGCAACTGAGCAAACAGACAAACAGCACTCTGCAGAGAAGAGAGACTGAGCAAAGAGAAAACTCCACATGGACTTTCATTCGATCCATGCTGTTATCTAGATCACAACTTTTTTTCTAGAGAAAACAAGTCCTGTCCCTCTCCATTCCAACCAGCAACTGCCCACTTAGAGAGAGAGTTATGCAGCAGCTTCTGTAAGAGATTAGATCGGGTTAGAGATTTCCAAATAATGTTAACTATCATTACCTTTACCTCAGGCCTCACATTTTATATAATGTGAATGTAAGCAAATTGAAGATAAGCACATAATCTCCCTAACCTCCAGCAATCAGTGACTGGGCAGACGTGTCTCCTCAAAATACAGAGTGGGATTTGCTGGCAGCTAAGAATGTGCAATTGGAAATTAAATTCAGGTTATCCACCACTAAATTCCTCTTCCATCCTCTCCAGCCCTCGCAAAATGCTTTAGGAGTTGGCACAGTTGCAGACCCATCAGAGATGGAGAGGAAAAAGCGTAATGTTGCCATTTTATCTGAATTGGAATTAGAGAGGTGATTAATTGTTGTTATCTGTGTGTGGCGTATTTATTTTCAAAATGCAACCTGTGAAAGTGGTAAACTGACATTTTGATACCTGTAGTTTGTTTGCATTATTCTGAAACAGGGACAAACGTGTCCAGACCAAAATTTGTTATTAAAGTTACATAATAGCAAATTGTCTCCCTATTGCTTAGAATGTTAATGAGGTTCAATATAACAAAGAGTGAAAAATTTAAGGGGGTCTGAATACTTTCCGTACCCACTGTATGTGCTGTTGACTTCCGTTCTGCCCCTTTTCACATTCTTGCACATGGGGATTCAAAAGATAACTTTTTTTTCCCTTTCCTTTTACTTTGTACTGAGTTCAATTTAGGTATGACAGAACTGTTGCAATTAATTTTATTTTGACAACTAATAGAATGTTAAACATTCACTATTTACTTTTTCAGAGTTCATTGATTATATAAAATGCAGTGAAGGTTGAGTAAACGTTGAACTATGTAGTTATCTGCATGTCTCATCCATGAATATGCAATGATGGAGAACAAGCTTTTGGGGGTGTTGAGAACCAGAATCAGGCTCACTGAGCAATAAAGCTATAGTGAGCCACTTTATTAAAGGGGTCATATGATGCAATTTCAAGTTTTCCTTTCTCTTTGGAGTGTTACAAGTTGATTGTGCATAGATAAGATCCCTGAAGTTGCAAAGACTAAAGTCTCAAAACCAAAGAGATATTCTTTATCAAAGTTAAGACTCTGCCACGCCCCCCTAAAACGCCTCGTTCTAACACACCCCCACATATCTATGTTACTATGTGGAAATATTTGCATAATGCCGCCCAAATGTTCACGCAAAGAAAGAAGGCGTGGTTTCAGTAACCGCAGTTAGTGTTGAAGCAGCATGTCAGGGAGA